TTATTTTATCTTTATTTATCTGTTTCAACATTTCACGAAAATCTTTACGTAGAAAATTAACTCTATACAAAACTCCAAATTATATACAGCGATAAAGATGATAACCTACGCACATTTATTTTTATTAACCGACTTCAAAAAGTAGGTTATTAATTTGCATGCTTATATTTTTATATATGTTCGGGCATAACTCCTTCATATATAGACGGATTTTCAAAATTCTTGTTGTGTTCCAAAGGAATTTATTCCGAAATAGTCACATTTAAATTTCATATAGATCTGATAATGAGCTTTAGAGACAGACTACGGAACTCTTCACAAAATCATAGCAAATTAACTGCGATTGCTGCTAAGTTTTTAGTGCTCTGTTTTACGATCAATCTCAAATCATATGTACTATGTACCTATGGTATGTTAGTCCAGTTAAATAAATATACCTTGGCTAACTTTGAGCATTGCATTACCCTAATAAAACCTTATGTATTTTATTGGTTTAAGATTATTGTTTAAATGGCAGTTTTGTTATTTATAAACGTTACTTATGTATTTTGTTTCTTTTAGAATTAAAAATAAACTAGAATGAACGAACTAATTTCGAACGGAGAACGATTGTGTTTGAAGGAGAGCTTCTTTATAACAGATTATCAGACATTATAAAGGATAGCGATAACGTTTTTAAATTCAAGAGTGAACTAAAGAAACATTTTTCTGTTCAATTAAAAATAATAATTTATTTCATAAAGAACTATGAAAAAAAAATTATGAACATTAATCTCCTACAAGTTTACAATACGTTGGTACTTGCTTGAAGCCGTTAAACTTGACTGATAGTCTTATTTGAATATTAAATTGCCGAATCAAATTTTTTAAAAAAAACCTAATGAAACGTTGCCAATTCTTGTCAAGTCTTTTAGTATTAACCATTACAATCACGTCAACAAGCTGTCAAATCATGACAATGTTTTTAAATTCTGAAACCACTAGACTGAATTACGTTAAAACGGTATGACTATTTTAAATAAGTACAGTTATTTGGTGAGATGTGGTGAGAAGGAATTGCTTTTGTTCTGAAAACAATACATTTCGATTAGCTTATTTAAAATATATCTTGAATCAAATATAGCAAATACGTTGAACTATTCATTGGCAGTGTTAGAACCTGTTTTGCATTAAACAGCAATGTTGCCGAGCTGTAGCTGCATTGAATTATGTGGTACTTAGTTGTTATTGTTAGTGATCAAGTCAACTTTGCAGCGAGCCAAATCGAAACAACCACTATTTAGTGAACCACGCTGTATAAATGGATATACCGTGTAGCGCGTGTTTGGATAATAGAGCTCTTAGTATTTGGAAATGGTGCAACTGTTATAAATAAGTGTAAGTAGTAACAAATTAAATTACATAATAATACATCATCTTTACATAGTATAAAGTAAGGTCTTATTTTTTAAACTAATAGGGAGATTGTTTCAAGAGCAAGGTTTATATGTATAATACCTGCACATACCTAATAGTGTATAAAATTTGAGATTCGTAAAGATTTTAAAAGAACATGTTTTTGTGCGCTTACTTTCCAAACGCCTGACCAAAGAAAACAAAAAAAGTTGTATATCTTAAAAAGATCTACAAAATATATATCCTGTATCGCGGGTGACTTTACAAACATACTTGAAACGGACACAGAGAAGACCCAGACTCAGAACAACAATTTGTAGATCACACAAAGTGTCGTCCCTTGTGGGGTTTGAACCCACAACACTCGGCGCAATAGGAAGCGGCGTGGCGACCGCTTAAACAGATACGATATCCGTGCAGTCAAGGATAACCCACAGTAACCATTTTTATCTTTTAAATATTACAAAAAAATAATGGGTTATTTATGAAGCTATTTGGAACAATACAGAATTATTCCTTATCCAAATAAATACGTTTGATAAGTTGTGCATGTAATATAGATCACAATTGCCTTTTACAGCATATCAGTAAAGTAAATATCTTAGTAGATATTAGACGGCATTACCGCGTCGTGCCGTACGTCCGTCCCGGTGACAGCGGCCAGCAGGATCGAAGCGGGCTTATACATAAATGTTGAATATAAAGATGTCCTGTAGTATAGTCTTATCAGATTAATAGTAGAATTAATTACTCCATACTGACACCACATTAATACAGTAGTAGCTACATTGCAGCCGTACGAAGCCGGGGCTAATCGCTATGTTATATTATATTAGTTGACTGCCTCGGAGTCGCAAACGTTATCACTCACCACGAGTGATAGCGTATGCGACTGCTGTGCTGAGGTCTCGGGTTCAATTCCCGGGTCGGATCAAATGTTTGTATGATCTGCAAATATTTGTATGTATAAATATATATATAATATATGTATTTACAAAAAAAAATATAAGTGCCTATTCTATCAGTCAATCTAGATTTCTAATACAAGCTGTGCTTGTGTTCGAAACTTGATGGCGTTGTGTGTTAGTTGTCCGAAATATTATGATTTTCTTTATTTGATGAAATATACATATAAATTACCTTTTTAAATATATTTATAATTCATACAAAAAAATTAACATACATTTAAAAATATAACACATTAGGTCCCATCGCTATCGGGTACAGGGACCAAGATACCGATGGTTAGGACTCCAGAGACAGAAACCTCCCCACAATACACAATACGTGCCGTATTAAGAAAAACTGCTTTCTGTATCCGGCCCTTAATCCAGTTGCCTAACGCGAGCCTCTGAAAATGTCGGTTGAGGCTCTTAGCAATTAATCCATGGGCCGATATGTCTATCGATACAATGATTGAGGAAACCACATCCCAATCAATTCCAAATCAATCTCGACAATCTCGATGGCCAAATGCAAATGCTTCACTTGTTTATATTTTTCAACTTTCAAGAGTATTTCGCCATGTGGGATGGTAATGTCAACAATTATTGCTAGGCGCTCTAATTGATCTATTAAAACTACAAGTATATCAGGTTTATTGGCAACAATAGTCTTTTCAATGACTATAGGGCGATCCCGGTATAGTGTATCACGAGCATTTTCAAGAAGTGGGCCGGGCACAAATTTACAGTATGGTAACTCCACAGTCACAAGGTTATACTTAAGGGCAAGTTGCTGATTAAGAAGCAACAAGCAAGGCAAGTTAAAGAACAACCTGCCATTATATGTTCAGACATATAATGACTTTTCGGGCATGTCGTTGTCCCGGAGAAAGCCCTGGGGCAATGACTTGCCCGACAAATGTCTATTGTGTCGTCCTTCAGGATATACCTCCGATAACCACTACAACTTTACCAGTAACTGTAAAGACAAAACCTTCGGTTTGTGCGAAGAGTCACCGAATGGTGGAAGAACGAACCGTAGGAGCTGTGGAGAGCAACGGATAATGCCGTAGCTGTGGCGTAATTTTGGGCAGACAAAATTTAGGGGTGTTCACCGGTTGAAGACCGAATCTTAGCCAAAATACAGACTCCAGTGAGCTAACCTCAGGCCTATTTAAGACCCGATAAAAACGTCCATGCAGGTCTTTGCCCTTCCATGTCTCCCTATGATCAGTAATGTTGAGTACTGCAAGTTTGCGTCAGTTCTTTTGCAGATTTTCGAAGAATACATAATTTCATCACCGCGGAACGTGGATGAGGCATTCGGTGCGCTGTAAGCAATCTACTACCCCTTCTATGCAGGGTATCTACTTCAGTCTAAGTTCATCTAAGTATGCCAAAGGAGTAGGTTAGAACTGGTATGATCCAATCATTATAGGCCTTCACCTAATTACCACCTGACAAAAGACTATTTATTACTTTTTTAGGCGTTTTTCATTCATCCGATTGTTTCACAGTCAACTCATTTACACCTAACGCCTATGAAATAGCCAAATTTTTGTAAGCTTCGTTAGTTGAGAGGTATCTAAACTGCGTGGTAACAGAGACCATACCTCTTTTTACATGCATGATTGCGCACTTTTCATCGAGTGACTGAGGTTGCCAAAGCCCATACGCCCCCCCCCCCTCCCCTCCTCCCGAATCCGGGCGGGGAACCAAAGGGTGCCAACGAACTTGTTACTCTTGAGTTGCAGGTGTCCATGGGTTATGGTAGTCACTTACCATCAAGTAAATCGTCTGCTCGTTGGTTCCTCCTATATGAAGTAAAATCATTATATCATGTAAACCTTTGTACTCGTACCATGACAAATCAAATTTATCACATATTGCTTAAACTTTTATTATTATTATTCTTCTACAATTAACTAACATTAAGTATGCTTCAATGCGACACACTTATTTAAAAATAGGAAAAAAGAACCTTCTTAATCTAGGTACCTACTCTTTTTTTTAATTTGTACTTACGAACTTTTATATCGAGCAGGCCGTACAATAAGTCTTACCGAACACGTAAAGAAAATAATGTCACATACTTTAATTTAAAATATTATGTATATGATGTTTACACATGTATTGATATTTGCTTATATTATTCTAAACTACATAGATAAGTACATTTATAAATATTGTTAGGATTAATTAACTAAATAATTGTGGTAAGTCTGAAAGTGTCCTTATCGCCGTTAGCACGGGTACCCATATTTTAAACTAAGTAATGTTAAAATAAGATCTGTAATGATGTGTACCAATTTCATTATTATTAAACATTATTTTAATTCAAAAAGCTGAGATTCGTTATCTGTGAATTAGGCTTGGTAACACTGACTGACTGCCCCACAACAACTTTTTTCTACGTTTGTTGATCTCCGAAACCATTGTCCAGAAACTCTGTCAATATAAGAGAATTGTTGTGGAAAAACATTTAAAAAAATGTATATAATTCTTTTAAAAATGTGCCTTAATCAGTTATTGCTTTAACCTAACTATTGTAGTGTGACATAGGAAAAAACAAATGAAGGATTTCATTACTAATACTCATTTGTTTTCATTATGACGAAACGCCGAAGAATTCTTCACGCCGACAAAATAATACAAAATGTCATGAATGTGTTTTGTTTATTGATGTTCCTGCAGTTAAAAGGTAATGTTTCTACTTTGTGTATCGCGTTACTGACTCTCAGACAACCGAATAATATTTTGTATTACAATTCTCTCCTAACATTTCCATACTACGGTGACTACAAAAAAAACGAAAAAAACCTAAAGCTTCAAAATAGTCAGTTTAGTAAAATTTTATGAATACTAAAAGGTGTATTCGATGTTATTTTTACCTTACATTAATTGATGATTATCATTTATTTGGAGGTTTTTTTTTTGATATGATAATCATATGTAACTTTGACAGGTTACCATTCAGTAGGTAGCAATCCTATTTTGTTATATTCAACGGCATCAGATATACGAGTTGTGAACACATCTCAACTTGGCAAAGTGAATACCATAGTCAAAGATCTGGAACAGGGGTCCGCAGTTGATTTCCTTCACTGTAAGGACCTTATATGCTGGTCAGATCAGACTGCAGAATTGATACAGTGCATGAGTTATAATGAAACACATTTAGGAGATAAAGTGAGTATATCTTTTACATTTTATTAGTTAACTTTTTTAATCTTAATGAAAACCTTTTTTTCACTTGGTATATGGTGTTAGGATAGCTGTATTCTGTACTGTTGCATCTTATTTTGTCCATTAAATCCCAAAACTTAATAATCATTCATAAAATATGTAAAATTTATATATTTTCTTATCTTGAAAATGGTTCTAATAATACAAATATTTTTTTTATCTTTAGAAAAGATTTTACTTTTTTATTTTACCCATTTTTTATTTTATCCAGTTTAAAAACCTATGATGCTGATTTTTGTTAGAAGGGTTTATGAAATGTGTGCTAAAAAGTGAACTTATCTTAAAAAAATTGTATTTTATTGTTGTTGTATGATTTTACTTTTCTACTCATACTGTAATAGTAAATAGTCATTCTACCACTGAGTAATGGTCTCTCCATTACAACTAAATAAACAGTAATATGAAAGTGCTATTAGCAGTTATCCCTTAAACCTGGTTTATTGATAGTGCTTTCTATTTCATATTCTTTCTAGTCCATATTATGCAAAAACATAACTATAAATAGATGCATTATTTGCATGCTCTGCTAACTGCATTTCAACATATTTTTTTTTACAGATTAGGATAGTTTCAGAAGGATTAATTACACCAACTGGCATTGCAATAGACTGGTATACAGACAAGATATACTGGACCGATGGAGAGACAAATAAAATAGAAGTTATTAGTATAGAACATAAATATAGAAAAGTTCTATTCTGGTCAGAAGTTGATTTAGCTAGAGCTATTGCTGTTGTTCCTAAAGAAGGGTAAGATATTTTATATCAGGATCAACTTTAGCTGGACCCCAATATCTACACAGCAATACAACTTATCACATCACAACAACAGCCTTTAATAGCCCACTGCGGGACATAGGCCTCTACTTAGAAAGGAGGTTTTGACATACTATACCACACTGGCGAGACCGCCAGCGTGGTATAGTATGTCAAAACCTCCCCCCCTAACCCTATAACAACCCATCTGGGTTGGTATAGGGTTTGTGTCATGTTTTCCTTCTCTCTGCAGTGCTGTTATCCTACATAGTTTGCTTCCTTACTTGGCTCTTATGATACCCACAGGATGAACAGGGGTGGTGACACTGTATTCTTAATCCGTCACCACACGGATACATACAACTTATATTTTATTCAAAATATACTTTTTTTTCAGATTAATGTTCTGGACAGACTGGGGTGAAATACCCAAAATAGAACGAGCTGGAATGAATGGTGATCCAACAACACGAAAAGTTATAGTGAAAGAAAATATTTTTTGGCCGAACGGCATTACAATAGATTATGACAAAAACCTAATATATTGGGTGGATGCTAAACTACATTTTGTAGATGTTATGGATTTTAATGGTGGTAATAGAAAAAGTGTTGTCACCGTTGGCCTGGTATACCCGTATGCCTTGACATTTGTTGATAATAAACTATACTGGACTGATTGGAAAACATGGTAAGATTTACACCTACTTTTCTTGTAAATACATAAAGATTACATGTCATAGTGTCATAGTCAAGTCATAATTCTGAAGTATTCTTAATTTTTGATTTATCCAAACTCAAACAGTTTTTGCAGAAACAACTGTTTTTGCAGTAATTATGCCTATTAGCTAGGCTGTATCGTTATAAACATTAAAGCTAAGAGCCAGTTTCTGAGACAAGTAGCATTTATTGTAAAACTACCTACTACTAGCTAATGAAACTCACAATAACTACTCTTTTAAAAAAATCATTGAAAATCATAACTGTATGATTGGCAATCATAATATTGTTTTTTATATCAAACCATTCAAATTATTACATATGTGTACATACACGTCTTACCACTTTTAACACTTTCTTTTAGGTCAATGCATACTTGGGATATGTCATCAAATGGTCCGATGAAGGAGCTTATAAAGTCTGATCCAGTCCCTGTGGATGTTAAAGTGTATGATGGCAAGAGACAGGTGATGCCCACTGGTGACTATCCTTGCAAAGTTAACAATGGAGGTTGTTCACATTTGTGCCTTTTATCTCCAAATCCACCAGGTTAATATATCTTTGTATTTTTAATTGATGAAGTTAAAAGTATGCTAATCGGGAGTGAAATTGTCCCCTACAGAAATAGTTCAAACCACAAAATGTACAAAGTAATAATGCCAATTTCCAGTTCAAAGTTGTCCGTATTCATTCTGAGAAAAAACTGGCTAACATAGTTAGGTTGAAAAATGATTTTTCGTCATAAATATAATTTTATATTTGATGGTATAGCATCAACACTAAAATTGTGGCCTGTATGTGAATTAGATTCCTTTCTGTATGGAACACTTAAACAGCAAGTGTTTGTTAGCTTGACCATCATCATGATGCTTGATCAATCGAGCAGATGTTCACCTGATGGCTAAGTGAATGCCACCGCCTATGGAGAGCTGCAATACCCTTTGAGTAAGGGGATAAGGGGAGATTCGTTAGGCATCCGATTATTTTACAACAGTATTTTTCATTGAAAATTTATTGGAACTATGTTATTATGTTATTAGTGGTTTACAGTTAAGAATATTCCATCTATCTATCAACAGAATATTCTATCTATCCATGAATTGCACGAATGGAGTAGTGGTTTAAGCGCTCGTCACGCCGCTTCCCACTGCGAGTGTTGTGGGTTCGATCTCCACATGGAACACCACTTTGTGTGATCCACAACTTGTTGTTCTGAGTCTGGATGTTCTTTGTGTCCGTTTCATGTATGTTTGTAAAATCCCCCGCAACACTTATTTTTCCTAATGCGGGAGTTGTTTTAAAAATAATAATTACAGTTGTATATCTGCTTTATGACATTTCAGGATATGAATGTGCCTGTCCAACAGGCTCAAAGTTAATAGAAAGTAGCAATACTACTTGTTACAATGGTCCTCAATCGTTGCTCGTCGTAGCGCAACGTTCGGCTATATCCAAGATATCTTTAGATTCACCTGACTTCACACCATACACATTGCCGCTAAAGGACTTGAAGAGAGCCCTAACTGTGGATTTCGATCCTAAGTATGAATATATTTATTGGGCTGATAGCTTGGTAAGTAGACTTTACAATTCTTATTTTAGTTACAATTTGGGATCAGATGGCCATTTGTAATATGTATCAAGTACAACCATAGAAATAATATAAATAGAGGAAGCGAACTGTATATTCCTCTAAGACAGAGAAAGACGACTGTTTTTATGTTTCATCTCTCTTTGCTCTCTGCACTGATTGGCTGATACTAAAGGGGATATTAAAAATAGCCAATCAATGACAAGAGCAGTAAGAAATGCTAGACCAAAAAATTTTTCTTTCTGTCTCTACCAACCATATGCGATAGCGCCTAGTTCTCTTCCTCTCACATTTATAAGCTCTTTGAGTATAACTTGCCATTTTTTTATTAATATTTGCAAATCATTATTTTAGGCAAAAACAATATCACGTGCGCGTCTAGACGGTAGTGAACAAACGGTGGTCATTCACAGCAGTGGAGTCCCTGACAGTATCGCGATCGATCCGTTAGCAAGGAATATCTATTGGACTGATCCTGTAACTGACACTATCAATGTAGCAAGACTCGATGGTAGCTCTAAGAAGGTAGGTTTTATTATTGAATAAATATTTGACTGTATTTTTTTTTATCACTATATATTGACTACGTCTTGCAAACTGTAATATAATTAAGATTTTTAAATACAAAATACCTACCACTGTTTGAGCTGTATTTAGGGAATGCAAATCTCGCGAGATTGGGGCTCAAGCGAGATCCCGCGAGTTTATGAATAACATACTGCGAGATCTCGCCAATTCCGAGATCTCGCGAAATTGGCAATTTTGTGTGTTTTTTTTGCAAATAATCACAAAAAGTATTTTAAGATAATCATTTATTTGCAAGACTTTTTTCAATAGATTGATACATCAAACATTGTTTGACGTATCTGACTATATTTTTTAATCTATACAAATAAATAAAGTTGGAGTGTCTGTTTGTAATATTAAAATAACCGCTTTTTACTAAATGCATATGTATGTTTACACGGTACATATGCTAAAATATCATTTTTTACAATTTTTGTCTGTCTGTCTGTCGGTCTGTCTCTGGAACGGCTGGACCGATTTCGACGGGACTTTCACTGTCAGATAGCTGATGACATAAGGAGTAACTTAGACTAGCTTCGCCCCGCGGCGTTGCCCGCGGTTATAACAACAAACGCGAGTTACACCGCGGGTCTCAGCTAGTAAAATTCTAAGTAGTAAACTTTGACGTACGTATCTATCAAATAACAAAAAAAGGCAACAACCAATCTTCTCTTCTAATATCAAACAAGTCTTTATCTTTTAGTAATAAAATTTTATCTTGTGTAAAATTTCTCGAGAGACGTCTCGTCCCGCGACCGCTAACTCAGGCCGCCGCCTCCCGCGCACCGAACGAAACCGACAAATCGCAACTCCGTCCCTGTCAGACCGCTCTTCAATAAGACGTTTTTATGCTCGAGTGCAATCTCGCTAAACTCTCGACATCTCGCCCTTTTTTCGTCCGAGATCAATCTCGCTAAAAAAGGCCGAGAGCTCGCGAGAACGAGATTGCATTCCCTAGCAGGTACATTTTGTACTTTTTTATTGTTTTAAATATTTTTTTAATAATAAAATCCCTTTGTCCTTTTTGTTGTGTTTTGTACAATGCAAATAATGACTTTCTAAAGCCTTGCTATAAATAGAACCATAAATTCTATGTCACTGTAAAGAACCTCTGTATGAGCAGCAATTAGTAAGCATAGAATTCGAAGTGCTTCCCTAGTGTAATCCCTCAATTGAAGTAACTACCGTGTCCTTACCAACTTCATTACTCCACCTTTATCTTTTTTTAGGTGATAATCCACAATGAGTTGTACAATCCTCGAGCAATTGCATTACACCCTACAGCAGGCTGGATGTTCTGGTCAGACTGGAATGAGAAGAAACCTAAAATAGAAAGAGCTAATTTGGATGGTAGTGGAAGAATCTTGTTAATATCAGAGAAACTGACTTGGCCTAATGGCATCGCTCTTGATACTGTTAAGAATAAACTATATTGGGGTGATGCTAGAACTCACAAAATTGAGGTAATTTGAAAAGTATAATTTACGATGCCATTAATCTAAAATAGTATAAAAGTTTCGGCAACTGTCTGAACTCTATAGTCAGACTAATGTTTTAAATAGATAATAAATTTAAACCCTAAGGCATAATAAGATGATATTATAATGAAACTGAGTACTGAAAAGTTTTTGAGATGTTGAATTTTTTCCTTTACCTCTAAGGCTCACTAGATTCTCGGGGACTTCCCCCGAGTCCCTTGCAATTGACTCAATTGTGACGAAACCAATGTGGTTTTAGTCGGTTCCATTATGACACACCACATCACTGTGAGCCCTAGTAAGGTGATATAACAAATATAAAGGTAATTCCACACGATAAAATGAAAATAACACTAATTGAAAAGGTATCTTGGTTAGCTAATAACCTAATTAATGATGGAAGTATGGAGGTAAAGGAATTAAGATTTTGCACATATTAATGTTACTTACACACCATTGATAACTAACTTTTTCATTTAGATGTCCAACATGGATGGAACGGAAAGACGAGAGCTACACAGTAGTGAAATAATACACATTTTTGGACTTACACTACTTGGAGAGCATCTGTATTGGACTGATATGCAAAAACGGACTTTAGATAGGATCAACAAGAATACTGGTAGGTAACATGTTTTTTTTTATTTCTTATTAATTTAATTATTAATTAAATTAACTCTGACAGAGAAACCTAATAACGACAAAAAATAATGGAAATCTTCTATATTTCATTAATACATGAAAATAATTCTTTCTTTGAATATTGTTACGTGTTCGTTCGGGTTACGGGTTCGTTGATTCGGAATAATAAGCCTTCTGACGACTAAAGAGACTTTATTATCACTACACCTGAAAACGTTAAACAGCACTATTCTATTCACTTCAATTGCTTCGATGTTTATCGCACTGTAGCTTGAACTGAACTCACTCCACAGAAGACGTGTCCGTATCTATAATACTCGTAAAAGATCATTGTAGCAAATTCAAATCCCTACTAGAACCGTCCGCTTCACAGAAATCGCGAAAAACCCGAAAAAATTCGTTTCGAATGTAAACAAAATAATCGCGCGACAATCTATTTTCGATCTTATCTACACTGGTATAGGGCTTATTGTTCCGTGCCAACCCGCACCTTTACTAAACGGTTCCCAGAATTGAGCGGCCAATCGAACCTTCTGGAATGTGCGTGATTTTATTTGTGACAATATTTAACGAAGGAACGTCATTTGAATACCTAAAGTTTATATCTCAAAAAAGAAAAAGTTTAAGGAATCCATTATAAATTAAAAATTACGTTTTTATTTTTATTTTTTTTACAATTACAAATTTTTACAAATTATAAAGTCTAGCAATGATAATTAAACTGTGAATGAATAGGTAAAAGCAATGTGCATTTTAACCTTAAAAAGTTCTATGAAAAGTAATTTCATGACTATGACTTATGCTGTTGCGTACCACTAGAAGAGTTCTAGTATTTATTAAAGCTTCTACTCACTTAATTTTTGCTTTCGGGTCTGGCGAAAGCATTTTCTCAAGAGATTTCAGGTACCACGTTTTAACATACAATATATGAAATTCTATATGACTTTATAGGCTTAGAACGACAGCCTGTAGTGGAACAAATGGCAAATATGATGGGAGTTAAAGCATTTAAACTTGGCCAATCATATGGATGGAACAAGTGTGTGGAGAACAATGGCGGCTGTTCGCATCTATGTTTCAATACACCTAAACACTACGTGTGCACCTGTCCTTTAGGTATGAACTTAATTTATTTCTTTAATGGTATATGGGCAAATGAGCAACTGAATTAACGTATTTACCGGATTATTGGGAACACTATAAAACTTATAAATCTAATTGCTACTACAAATAGAAGGACAAGGTTAATGAGGTTTCAAAAACTAAAGGAATAAGGTATAAGGCAATACAGAGTCAGCCCCCGCGCGTACCCTGGTTTGAGGATTGCACTTACGTAGAAGTTATGTAAAACTGGTACTAAGACTCCGTTCTGGGCACATTCCATCGGCAAAGTTCGCATTTCTAATGAAAGAAAGGAAGTCAGAAGGAAAGTAGAATCACCAAACTGTAATGTATGCAATTGGCTGGAGGACTTGCAGCAATTGCTGATGGAATGTGTCAGGAACAAAATGGAAAGAGATTCATTAATGACGGAATTCAATTGTAATAAATTAGACGTTGGACTAACACAGCATTTTAACAAACCCAAAAACTGAAGTGGCCCAAAAATTAAGCAGTTTAGTATTGGTGCCTTTTAATGATTCTCCTCCATAAGTTGATTTAATTGTATGTATAGTAGATAATAAGTTCGTATAAGGTACAATGGAATGCCCGTGTGGGCAAAAGCTCCTTCCAAAACACTAGAATAAGAAAAAGGCAAACGAGTAAACGCGTCGCCGGATGGTAAGTGACTACCACCGCCCCTAGATACTTGCAACCACTGGGTTGCAAGTATCTAGGGGCGGTGGTCTGAAAGAGCTGCAAAGCATTTGTAACTCCTGAGTTACAAATGCTTTGCAGCTCTTTCAGTCCCTCCACTCAGAATCAGGTGGAGGGGAGGGTTTGGGCTCTGGTAACCTCACTCACTCGATTAAAAGCAACTAAAGAACTGTTTTTTTGAGGCTTTGTGCCAATTTTTTTTAAAGTCCCGCATTAGGAAATTATCATGAATCGCGGGCGACTTTACAAACATACATGAAACGGACACAAAAAACACCCAGACTCAGAACAACAATTTGTGGATCACACAAAGTGTCATCCCATGTGGGGATTGAACCCACAACACTTAGCGTAGTAGTAAGCGCCGTGGCGACCGCTTAAACCACTACGCCATCCGTGCAGTCACTATATATATGTATATATTACCTTAGACTTGTCAAGAATTGTCTTATAAACAGATTATGCAAATAGGCATATATTGATTATTATTATTTCTATCTTAGGTTTAGAACTAAGTAAAGATGGAAGCACGTGCAAGGAACCAGAGGCATTTTTAATATACAGTCGTAAGAACGTTATTGGCCACATAAGTATTGAGAACGAAAATACTGATGCCGTACTGCCACTCAAAGATCTGAAAGATGTCAGGTAAATTTGCAACATACATAAATACCTTATAGATGAAATGCTGAAACTAAGAAACAAAACTGTACTTTTTTGTGTTTTTTTTTTTTGCAGCGCGTTGGCCGTACATGTATCTGGATCTAAGATATACTGGTCAGACAGCAAAACAAAAACTATTAACAGGTGTTCTGTAAATGGTTCTAATATGGAGAAAGTTCTCGAGTCGATGGGTTTAGTAGAAGGTATGTTCCAATTGCATACTTATAACATACATAATATATACACAATATATACACAATACTAATCTATATACATAATACAATACAATAAGGTTAATATAACCTAATTGTTTGTGTTTGAGAGATTTGAAAAAAAAACCTTTTTTTTTTAAAGTTGCTTTAACGAAAACCTTTATTAATCAGTTAACGTCATGCACCACTATTCCTTTTTTTGTATAACAAAATGGGCCTACAAACACAGTGCTTATAAACATACGCCTTTGGTCATTTATTGCCAACCCTTTCCCCAAGGGGTGATCGACCTACCTCGTCGGTATATTTTATCATTGAAGATATCTTTGTTTATTTTCTAGGCCTAGCAATTGATTGGTCAGGACAGAATATTTACTGGACAGACACTGCAACACAGCGCATCGAAGTAGCCCGACTGGACGGCTCCAGCCGAAGGGCATTGATATGGCAGGGGCTTAAGAAACCTAAAAGCATTGCACTGGACCCCAAGAAAGGGTAAGGGTGTTTATATGTTAGTTACCAAACTCAACTAATTTGATCTTTTTTATTGTTCACTACTGTTGCATGTACAAAATAGTCAAGAAAATGATAAAACATGTTTATATTTTCTTAATCATTATATAGTAAATTATTTTAAAACCATCTTCAACAAAATGATTACTTCGCTAAAACCTCTTAGCCACAAAATAGTATTTTGGAACACTTTTTTTTAAGTAAGCATTTAGCTTATGTTCTTCACAGCCAGGTAACAAGTTTCCTATGAAATTTACACACTTCTTTGTAAAGTGAAACATCTATGTAAACACCGGTATACCTGTTTTTAGTATAATAATGAAAAAAATTCTTCGTAACCAAATTGACTGTAATTTCAGATATATGTACTGGTCAGAGTTGGGTTCAAAGACGATAAAACGTGCAGGCATGGATGGTTCCTCTCCTACTATTATTCTAGAACAAGTCGGCAAAGTTCATTCTCTTGCTATTGACTATGAAAATCGTGGCATATACTGGGCCGCGCTGGACCCGCCCGCAATAGAGTTCGCGTTCTTAAATGGTACCGGAAGGAAAATTCTAGTCAATAATGTGTCGATGCCTTATACTTTGACATTGCATAACGATCGAATTTATTGGGGTGATTGGGACACAGGTTAGTAAAACATGTTTAATGTGTTGGCGTTTTTTCTTGCAGATTAATAACAGTAGAGAATATATTTCGTATTCTTCCAAACTTCTTGAAATCTCTGGAACTTTTATTTCTTTCTTTCGTTAGTATAAGTAATAAAAAAAATCTTTGCCATAAAATTCTAGAAATAATTAGAATTATTATAGCATTTATGTTTATCTTGTAATAATTCTGAATTAAATTCAATGTCTTTCATTTTCGTTATAGAGTTACCTGAATTTACCAACACTAAATCGATTAATCTACACATTATTAATGTAAAACATAACACGTCCCCAGGCATCGTAGAATCGGCATCGAAAGCAGACGGCAGATCTCGCAAGGCGATCCACAGCGGCGTGGAGTACATATCGGAGCTGAAGGTGTGGGGCCGGCGGCGCCAGGCGGCGACGCAGTGCGGCGCGGACAACGGCGGCTGCGCGCACCTGTGCCTCGCCGCGCCGCCCGACTACCGCTGCGCCTGCCCCGCGCACTACCGCCTGCGCGCCGACAACCTCACCTGCGCCGGTAACTACTACTGATCGAATAATTACTCTTCACACTCATATTTAATTGACAATTCTTAAGTTTAAACGTGAAAATCAATTTAGCATTAGCAGTTGTATTAATATTTCAACACTACGATTTATTAAATTAAATTTGGTCTTCGCGTTGATTTTTCACGACTACGCACGTTAATTTTAGTCGTGAAATTTTGTGAACGTATGAATATATACGTACACGAATTTCGTCGCTTCGTTCGTTAACGCTTCACATTCACACAGCGCATGCTTTCTCATCCGCATCAACGCGAAGACTAAATTTAATTGAATAAATCGTCGTATTAAAATGTTTTGTGTTAAAATTGTGTCTATTATTTCGTGTGCAGTTACCCACGAAATAATAGACACAATTAATCAATACGAATATTATAAATGCGAAAATGGGTCTGTCTGTTACCTCTTCACGCTTAAACCACTGAACCGATTTAGATGAAATTTAGTATAGAGATAGTCCGAGTCCCTTGAAAGGACATAGGGTAGTTTTTAGACCAGAAATAATGCTTTAAAGGTGGGGTACCTTTAAAGGGGTAAATATAATATTTAGGTGGAAGTTTGTTTGGGGAATCAATCGATTCAGCGGTTGCTGAACCGATTTAGATGAAATTTGATATGGAGATACTTAGATTCTTGAGAACAGACATAGGCTAGTATGTTATATAAGGGTATCAACGGGCACGCCGTTATTGCGGCGGTGAGACCCGTTATGGAGGATTGGCCAGAGAAGCGTCACGGAACCCTCTTATACCGACTGACGCAGGTGATCACCGGGAAAGGTTGTGTCAACTGTGTCTGATCCGCAAGGAGCCAACGCATGAGTGCCACCACTGCGATGGCTGGACCGTGGACACGGCCCTCCACACGTTGGCAGAATGCCCGGCATGGGTGGAGCAGAGGCGTGACCTCGTGGTGTCCATCGGGGTAGGAGTCCTCTCACTCGGTATTATGATTGCCGCCATGGTACGGAGCGAGAGTACGTGGAACTCCGCCGTCTCCTTATGTGAGCAAGTTATGCTTGCGAAGGAGATGGCGGAGCGGGACCGGGAGAGGTTTAGAACGGACCAGGTACCGCAGACGACTCGGGCGCCGGAGGTCGCAGAACTACCTCCGTCCTTCATAAGCGCAGGCCTGGGGGTGACAGGTGAGGCCATCTGTCACCCTAGCAGAAGCAGGCCGGAGTGGCGGTGAGACGCGCACGAGCACAAAGGGATGCCACGGGATGATGACACGCCGTGGATGGCCCGAGGTACTACGGGGTACCAGGGATTTCCTTTCAAGGGTACACCTGGTTCCCCGGCTACTGGTACCCGAGACGGCGTGCGGTTTTTGGTCGGTTTGAGTCCGACATAATCCGTCCGAAAATAAAAGGTAATCAATCAAAAAATATTGTTCTATGATCATTATCTAAGTTAATCTATTTATCGTATGCCAGCGTGAGCCTGCTTATTGAAAGTAGTTTACTAATCGCAAAATATTAACTGTTTATAAAATATAAAACGTTCTATGATTCAAAATAATTTATGATTAAAATTTCAGAACCTGAAGAGTTTCTACTATTCGCCCAAAAGAACGCGATTGGCAGAATAGTAGTTGCCAATGGAGAATGTTATGATGCTTATATTCCTCTGACGGGGCTCAAAAATGTTAAGACAATTGATTACGACCCTGTTAATAAGTAAGTTTATCTGTTTATACTAACTTATTACAAAGTTGCTATATGTTTTTTTAACTGCATGTACCATTTTTTATTTTACGTAATAACTATAGTATATTTTTAATTGAATATTTACATTTGAGAAAACTGTTCTAAACTTCGCCTTCACCGCAAAAATGATTATATGGTATGGTATAAAGTGTATGTTAAATTAATTTATCCTTCATATGCTTACAACACTTGCGTCCTATTGCAAACCTTGATTTTATTGGGGTCGGTTTATAATAAAAATTGACACTTAAGTAATATGACGTAATTTTCTCAAACCTTTAATGACAAAGTTTTAAAAGTGAGTGAGATTACGCATAAAAATTAAGAAATGCTTCACTTTTCAGCACATTTTGTAACATAAAGGAGAAAAAAGATATAGTGTAAAGAGAAGAGAAACAACAAGCTTAAATATCTCTAGACCTATTAAACCAATTTATTACATCAAAAATTTTCATTTCAGGCATCTGTACTGGATGGATGAAGACTCCCACTCAATCCACAGAGTACCAATATCATATTCGACCACATCTGCAGTGAACGATGCTACTACCGTGATCACGGGCCTCACTAGACCTTTCCAAATGGTCCTAGACGTACTTGGACGAGCTTTGTATTGGACATGTGCTGATACGGATTCCATTAATGCAACTTCTATTGACAATAATTCATCCTCCGGAGTGATACTCCGAGGCGATAATATGATGCCTCGACATTTGGCTTTCCATCAGACTAAAAGGTTCGTGAAACACTTCTTAATCCATACTAATATTATAAAGCTAAAGAGTTTGTTTGGTTCCTTGAAAACGCTAAACTTAGGAACTACTGGTTCGAATTGGAAAAAAAATTTAGCCTACTTATCGTGATACTTAAAAGATTTACGATTTTCATTTTTCATTCTAAAGATTTCTCATATGGACCGACGCGGGTCTCGGTGTAATTATGCGAGCAAACGTGGACGGGACGTCACGAATGGAACTGGCTCGAGCGAGCAACGCGACCGCCCTCACTATCGACCAGACCACCGGCACCGTCTACTGGGCTGTCAATCGACAAATACATGCCGTAGATCTCGACGCTTCTAACAAGTAAGTAGAGCTGGAGAGGTTATACTGAACTTATCAGTTGTTTAATACCCGTAGTGATCGTTCGCAGAGTGTTTTATGTGATTCGTTCGTATTTCCGTACAGACGTATAGTATGGCAGGGAGGTTGGGCCGGCACGCTAGCCACGTACGGCGGGTGGGTGTACTTCAGCGGGGGCGAGCGCGCGCTCATGCGCGTTCCGCTGACGAGACGCGACGCGCCCGCCGCGCCCGTCCCGCACGTCGCCAGGCTCGTGGCCGCCAGACACGTACACAAGGTACGCACAGAATATTAACCCGGAATCAAGTTGATTCAGTGTTAATCATCATCATCAATAATTATTAATCTGATTATTTACGAGTAATCATTAGCTTTTAAAAAAATATTATAAACTTCATTGCGCCTATATCATAATGAAGTGTTATAAATTGTAATAAAACTATAATGTGTATATGTGACTATAATGTGTATATATGAGTATAGAAGTGGAGTGTGCTCTGTGCCGCAGGTGAACCGCGAGCACCCGTGCTTCAACGGCGGCAGCTGCGGCGGCGAGGCGGGCGCGTGCGGCGCGGGCGGCGCGTGCGGCTGCGCTCTGCGCTGCGCCGCCAGCGCGCCGCGCGCCTGCGAGCCGCACCGCTTCCTGTGCGACGCCGCCGCGCCCGAGCCCACCTGCATACCGCACCACTGGAAGTGAGCCGACGCCTTTTATTTATAAAGGTCGGAACGCATTTGAACGTCACTGCGCTGTGCGTCAAAATATTCTCCCGGAGGCAACTGTGCGCAGCGACGCTCGAATGCGGTCCGACCTTAAATATACACTAACGTTTAAGAGCACAGTTTCCATTATTGTGCCCCAAATTTCGGTCATAATCATACTAATTTTACTATATCCGATATGAGACTCGAACTCGGGGTTTATCCGCGGTCTCACTCGATGTCCACTACGTTACGTCCTTTTCTGTATCCCTCATCTCGTTTATAACGTTCACGTATAACGACGAACACGTTCGGAATTCAGAACGTCGACTAAGATTTATCCGGCTCGTTTTTATTTCTGCATGCGAATCAAAAATTGTCTACTGATCAGATGATCCCATTGCAGATGCGACGGACAAAAAGATTGCGAGAACGGTGCAGACGAAACGGAGTGCGGGGCCTGCGCGGCGGGGCTGCGGTGCGCCGACGGCGAGTGCGCGCCCACGCTGGGCGCCTGCAGCACCGGCGCCTACTGCGAGCAGGCGCCGCTGCCAGAGGCCTTCCGGTACTTACTCCTGAACTTGCCTTAACTTAACGATGACAGCTTTATCAAATAATTGTTAATATACATACAATTTACATACTACATAATATATGCGGTCGATCGTTATGCCGTAATCCGACAGGCGTGATCGCCTACTTAGAGGCTCCTCCGTTTGCGTTAAACGTATCATCAGCGTTCTACCACACCAATATTTCGCAAACGTATCACTGAATCGCTAAATGATTTTCAAAAGCCCCAATATTTTTTAAAGAGCTATCCAATCCAATCGCTAAGAAATGAAAGTTGTTCCCAGTTTGGGAGTTACTGTATTTTCTTTTCAAATTTTTAAATTACCACTTAGTTGGCGTGACTAATACATTATATGCAAAATTACAGCTTTTTTAGTACTAACAATCTCTAAGCTAAGTTGCGGACGGACGGACATGGTGAAACTATAAGGTTTCCTAGTCGTAGGACTACGTACGTAATAGCGTAAGGTGTATCCTAAAAAAGGATATCCTGGAGTACACTTTGCTTTCATGTAGGCGTATGTCATATGTAACTGACAAATTTATTGCTCAACAGATGCGATGAGAGATTATGTCTCGCCCAGAGTCTTCTCTGTGACCAGCGAATCCACTGCGAAGACGGATCAGACGAAGCACCTGCTACTTGTGGATACGCTCAAAAAGACCAGGTTAGATTAAATACTACGTTTTCGATAATATGGTATTATATCCATATACGATAGTGATGATAAACTATGACTTGGGTGTATACCTTGCCCTAAACGAGTGAGTCTTAGAATAGTCGCGTATTATTATAACTCCACAATCAATTAATGTGTTTTATTATGAAGTTACATTAAAGTGTCGCACACCATATTACGTTTTATTATAAATGTGTGTATTATCGATACGGTTAGAGCCTGTCCAGATGCGGCGTTTTACGCGCGAGTCGACTCGCGCATAGTCACTCGCGCGATCCCGAGATACTAGAGCTACATACAGCCTTGGCCAAAAGTATTAGGCACTAAAATAAAGGAAAAAAACAACTTATACTTTTTGAATTGATTTATTACCATTAAAATTCACAAAAAGGAATGAAAAAAACTTAAAATCTAGTCGGTCCACCTTTGGATTTAATTACTGCACTAATTTTAGCTGGCATGCTGCGTACAAGCTTAGTACAATCCTCCCTTGCAATGGCATGCCATTCTTGTACTAAAGCATTTTTTAACGCCGTTTTCGATGTGATACTATGCTCTTTAATCTTGCGCTTCAAAATGCTCCAAAGATGTTCAATTGGGTTCAAATCTGGTGACTGCGCTGGCCAATCAAACAAGTCAATGTTGTTTTCAGTAAACCAACGCGTCGTAGTCGCTGACTTATGACAAGGTGCATTGTCTTGCTGGAATATAACTCCCTCTAAGTTGGTATCGCCGAAAATACTCGTTAGCGAAGGCATAAGCGCAGTTTCAAGCACTTTTATCTACTTTTCTCTGTTCATACGACCTTCACAAACAAATATTTCGCCAACCCCATCAGTAACCATGCAGCCCCAGATCATTATGCTGCCTCCTCCATGCTTTATTTTATTTATTTATTTATTTATTTAACTTAATGCACTAGTTGTACAAAGGCGGACTTAATGCCCAAGGCATTCTCTGCCAGTCGACCTTCGGGTGATGTAGAAAAATGAAGCTGTAGGTGCAAGAGAAAACAGAGAATTTGACTTGTTTATATTATTAATGTTGGATAAATCTAACTTACATATATACACTACCACTATAAATACTATAAATAAAATACTATATTCATAACTACATATATACATAGAGGTCTCAAGTATACACATACAATAGGTGAATATACACATTTATAAATACATAAATATAAAAACACATAGTCGGGTACTAGCGATGTGACCTTTCTGCCAACTTATTTTGTAGAAGTTCTTGTACTTTCTTCTTGAACGTAAACCGGTTAGTGGACATCCTAATTTCAACTGGGAGCGCATTCCAGAGAAGAACTGACTGTACATAGAAGGAAGAATTGATGAAGTTGGAAGTGTGAGGGGGGCAAAGAAGAAGCATATTATTTGTAGATCGAAGATTTCGGTCGTGACTGGAGCAAAGGAGGCGGAGATTGGGAACCAGGTACTCAGGTACCGATGGGGAATTAAGAAAAGAAAAAAGATATGTTAGTGCGCGCAGACTGCGGCGTTGACGAATCGGGAGCCATTTCAGTTGGGAACGTAAAGCAGACACATGGTCATACTTGCGAAGATTAAAAACAAATCGAATGCAGTTATTAAGAAGTCGGTCTAGTTTATTGAGGAGGTCTGCATTCAGGTCAAGATAACACACATCACCATAATCGATTAAGGGAGTAATAAGGGACTGCATAAGCGTAGCCTTGGTTTTAGTGGGTAGAAAATTCTTGAGACGATATAAGGCGCGAAGACATGTAGTGACTTGCTGGCTGACGTGGGTGACTTGTGCTCTCCAGTCAAGTGTCGAATCAATATGTAGCCCTAGGTTCTTAACCACTGGGCTCAGAGGTATGGTTATGTCGTTAAAAACAACTGGTGGTATGGCCGTCATGTCCAACCTATTTAACATCTGTTTGCTACCTATGACGCTTTACTGTCGGTACGACGCAATCTGGATGGTATTCTTCGCCCACACGTCGCCTCACGAAGGTCACACCTGGCGTTCCAAATATCTGTTGAAAAAAGAAAAAAACACTTTTTTTAAACTGCCCTAACTTTTATTATTGTAGTTAAATAAATAACTGTCCATGATTATTAATAACAAAATCAGTATCCAGCATCCTTTTAAGCCTGCTTCTCCAAGTCTTCTTCTGGTGGTCCGAGCACTTATTGGCTTTCCAGCCTCTTCGGACAAAGTAGCAGCAAGCTCTGATGATGTTTAGTTCCGATGATTTATAGATTCGCGTATTAATTTTCTATCCTCGCGCTTCGAAGTCACACGTTTTCTGCCTGTTCTTGGTTTATTAGCGTGACTGCCAGTCTCAGCAAACCGTTTGATAGCAGATTGCACAGCGCAACGCGAACATTTCACTGACTTAGCAATTTCTTTTTGCGACTTCCCTTGTTCATGGAAAAGTTGTATTTTTACTCGGTTTTCCAAACTAATTTCACTTCTTTTCGGCATTTTTAAATAAATTACGTGTCAATTTAATCACTATGTTAGAAATAAAAGCTTGTTTACTCGTTAGAGTCCTGAACACAAGTGACCAAACATTGACTGATAAGAACGCATAAAAACAAATCCTTTGTTTTCAGTCACCAGGTGTTTTTTGACCATAACAGATAGCTGCTTGCTTTTCTAGGAAGTTATTTGTGACCCCGGCATGCCATCTAAGATAAGCATTTATTCATTGTTCAATCAGTAAACATGAATTGTGCATTTTCTGGGGTGCCTAATAGTTTTGGCGAAGGCTGTATATTCCGTCCAGATGATGACGCGCGTATACTCACTCGCTCGTAAAACGCTGGTAATGAGCGAGACTCTCGACTCGCGCGTTCTAGCTGCTCCGCGCGAGTCGAGATACTCGGGCGCCATTACTGCGTCCAGTACTACGCGCGAATCCGTAGCGAGGTTACAATCGAGGTTATTTCACTACGCCACGGAATACCCTCACCCAAGATACTCTCCCAACAACACCATCACCGGCATCTACACAAGATTCCCAAGAATCTGAATTGATGGAGCTATACAATAATTAATTAAGGTTAAATAACCTATAGTTTGTTAGAATGTTTTTAACGATTCACAATTTTTTGTTAAATTGATTTTTTCATACGTCAAAGGTACAAAAGTTAGGTTGATATTAAAATAATAAAAAATACAAAACCATTATAATAAAAAATATTACTTACCTTAAAGTAATCACGAGTTTTTCTTCTGCACAAACAGTATCCCGTACCACATAATTTTGCCATGGAGTTAAATCTTCTTGAATAATTTCCAGTAAGTCATCAAACGACGTTACTTACATTCGAAAGTAGTTGAAACATTTTTCGCTGTGTTCTCTGAGCTTTGGGTATAATGTTATAAACATACTATGCGTCATCCTGTCACGTAGAATTGGATGCACGTTAAATCGTCGACTTTCTTTTCGTTTACGACGTTTTCATCGACGGTATGCAAGCCACAACACAACCGCTGTCTGCGAGTCCACGTTTATAACTGAATCCCTCCCTGCGTAGCAACGCGCGTAAAACGTTTCATCTGGACGCAATATGAATTGAAACGAGCGAGTCGACTCGCGCGTAAAACGCCTCATCCGGACTGGCTCTTACCTCTATTCCGAGCAGGTGGTGAGCGGAGCGCGCCAGTCGAACGCGTTCGTGGTGTGCAGCCTGGTGGTGGGCGCGGCGGCGGGGCTGGGCGGCGCGTGGGCCGCGCTGCGCCGCTGGAGGCGCGGCGCCCGCCCGCCGGCGCCGCGCCGCGCCTCGCCACTGTCGCCGCTGCGCGCCGTGCCGCCCGCCGCGCGCGCCCTGTGCCCCAAGCGCGCGCCCGAGCGCACCGCCCTCAGCGAACGGGCGCGCCCTCTCGGCGCCAGCGCTAGCGCCAGCGCCACCGCCACCGAGTGAGTTTTCGCACTGACAGATCTCTGTACTTGCACGCTTTCTTTTCAAAATATTCATTCGATGGCATATGTCACGATGCGCAAAACGCTTTGTTTGACTTTTACCGGTACTCCAGGACGTCGGACAGCAGCTGCGCTCGCTACCCGCGGCCCACGGCGAACCCGCCGCCGTCGCCGGCCACGGGCAGCGACGGCGGAGGCGCGGCGCCGCGCCGGCGCGCCTACCGGCACTACCGCGCCATGAACCGGCCGCCGCCTCCCACGCCCGCGTCGACGGACGCGTGCGAGTCCGAGCCGGAGCCGGCCGCGCGTGCTCCTCCGCCGTCGCCGGTGCCGTCGCCCGAACCGACCGTCTTCCGTTGAGGTGCTTTCGTTTCGTTTTATCACAAGCGATCTACATACTTTTTGTCCGCACCGGAGCGACTCAGCGCAGCTCAGATTGAGTGAATGAAATATTATTACCTTATCCCGATCGACTAGAACTGAAAATTGTTAGCAGTAATATAATCTAGTCCAGCCGATACCGGCGTAGCTCAAATTCATTTTTTTATTTCAATTAGGATAATATTTTATTCATATTTTAACAGTGCTGCGCGTTCTACCACACTCTGAGTTGACTCTTATTCGTGAATGAACAGTGATTTATTTACACAACACAATATACTTAGTTTCTAACTTTGAGATTATTAAGAGCGAAAGTATGATATGGATCTCAATGTTTTTTAATGTGACGATGCACATAAAACCCTGGAAACACTTGTTTTCTTTCCATTCTTTGTTACATGTATGAATAGCTTCATATAGTCTTGAATGACGTCAGTCTGCGAAATAAAAAAAAAACAACCATCTGCATCCGAACATTTTTGTCAATTGTTTTCTAAAAATGAATAAGGAATAAGGATTAACCTGCTCTGTTGTATGAAAACGTCAACAACCACAATGATGTTTAGCGTGGCGTGACGTAACACTTTCTGATTGGTGTTCGCTGTCACGTGACTTAATGCCTATTATGTACGAACTTATTTTTAAAAAATATTAATAATCTTTAACTTTTATGAGAAATAGACAGGTTTTTTCTTATCTATGCCCCTTCATTTATAATTTGAAATTATAAACCAAGCAATTTGTTATTAGTGGGCACTAGCCTATTGAACTATATGAATAGAATTTGTCAAAATAAAGTCATTTCATTCGAAAATAACCAATCAAATACGTCAGTATTGTGTAAAAAATGCTATGTGTAAAAGACATCGTTAGAGAAGAAAGAAAACTCATTTCAAGAGATTCTTGTTGAAATATTGCTTGTATTAAATTAAATAGTTAATAAAAATACTACAGAGAACAATCATTTTCTGAACAAAACGCTTTGACGCTACTTAAGACTGAACACGCACAAATAGTTAACGAAATATACATTATTTTATTTCGTCACCACACCCAAAGTTGAATCCTTTATTATTGATAAAAATACCACAATATTTTACCTTAATTTCGCAGCTTTGTTCTTGTGATATTATTAAACTTTCCTGGCTGCTAGTTAATTTATTTGTTTGTCTCTTAGAGTGCTAGACTCTTATCGAGCACTAGATGTATAGAAAAGAACAAGTCGAAGTGTATGACGTAATCCACAAGTAGAAGTCACTTAAATTCTGTCCATTCATTTATTTTCTTTTTGTTAGGTAGTCAAATAGTGATTATCAACAATTTTGCTAATGCGATTATAAATACCAGTAATTTTACGTTACACAGTTACGTTCGCAAAGTACTTTCAGAATTAAATAATTGAATGGACTGAAGATAGTATTTTATCATTTCTACTTAAGTTCGATTACAATTGATATGTGCATATTGCAGCCTCTCAGTGATTGATACGACTCATTGTAACAAGCTGCACAAGTCTGAATCTTGTCTAAAACTATTAATTTAGTATCTTATTGACTGTACTAATTTTTACTTTACAGAATACAATATTGTAAATAGATATATATAGTTATAGGAATTTAGGTAGCTCGAAAAACTCCTATGAAAACTCCGAAGTAAATAATATAAGTATGTGAGACAGAACCACGGTTACCTCTTATTCTTATTAAGGTGAGAAGCCATCAAGAAAAACTTCAAGTAGTAGTGAACATTTAAACCTCAATTACATATTGTACAGGCTGTTACAGAAAGTTGGAGTCATATTTTGAGGCAGGTTTCAAAAGAGTTCGTGATATGTTATTTTAGAGACGATTAACATGAGTTAAACTATTGGTATTTAATACCAAGGCTGTTACTCGAATATCCAGATTTTCCAGAAAATGTCTGGTTTAAAATTTGTACTATGTTTATTTTTGATGTGCACCATTTTCCATGTAAAATTTTGTTTTCGAGCTGAATCAACCATTTGTCGACTATAAATAATACCTAAAATTTGACAACTCCTTTCTTTAACACTCTGTATAAACATCTTTATAGTTCTTAGAAGTTTTACAAAAAGCCTCATTTCACCCATTTTGACTTTTATTTTTCAATACTATGTTATTTTTGTGGTGCTAAATTTTCACAAAATACAACTTTCGTTCTTTGAATAATAATAAATACACTTTAAATAAAAATACGCAGTTGTTTACACATAATATATGTATTTTAATAATGCCAAAAGTTGTGGCTCTGACAAGGTCTATTATTCAAATGTTAAAAACAACCATCTGCATCCGAACATTTTATGTGAAAAAATGTGCACCCAAAAAATGTTCATAAATCGCTAAAAATATAAGTTTGAGGTAATCGTGAAATAATAATAACACTAGACTTGACCTAAGTAACTAAATTATTTTGCGATTTGCAAGGCGGATCTACTCCGTTACGTTAGTTTTCAAACACGATGACATCCAAAATGAGGAATATAAAACCTTGCATTATCATTGTTAAATAACTCCTGAAAAAGTATTGCCACTCCGTTGCTGTCAATGTACATTTCACAATCATGTTACATGGAGTAACAAATATGGGTATATAGTTTAAGAACATGTAGAACTTCTATTTGGTGCTATGTCACTGTTCGTGCCTCAACAATTGTTTTAAGAATAAATCTATTATTTCAAATAAATTGAAAAGAAACACGTAGAATTAGATTATATTACTTTTTAATATAATACAATACAGCGTCTTTCTTTATATATTTATATAAGTATAGAGAGTACGTTTTTAGTGATTGATTTAATTATTTTTGTGTGTTTCTGATTAAATTGTAAATAAATATATATTGTAAACATTTTATAGAATAGTTTTATTTGTATATTGTAAGAATAAAATCCAAAGGTAATTTCACGATCGTCAAATATATTACTCGATTGTTACTATAACATATGATAGTTTTAACTTGAAAAAGAGTTACAACTAAATTATTATTAAAATGAAACCTAATAATAGATTCTCAAACATGAAAATAGTCGTAACTATTTGTTTAACAGTAGTTCAATGAACAATTATTCATTTTAATGTTGAAGAAGTACATAAAACTCTATTAATACAAAATTACCGAACGCAGTGAACACAGCACTTCTAAATATACAAACTATCTGAGCTTAAACAGAATATTGTAACCTTTTATTGTCAATTGTTTAAAAACATTAATTCATTAATGTACACAATTGTAAAATACTCAGTCTGGGCCTATATTAAACAATACTTGACTGAAGTGGCAATATACTTATACTGGGCCTATATCTTTAGGTTCTTTAGAATTGTAATATATCTACAAGCACTGTTCCGGTATGTTGCCTTAACAAATGTTTTTAATTTTATTACATTTGATTACTTAAATATTATATTCCAATACATGATTGCTACTAGTATTTATGTACTCATATAGTCGCCCTACTATAAGGCTATTTTGACAAATTACATTGAAAACATTAAATTAACTTTTTAATTAATATGACTCGTTGCATTGCTCAGATGAATTGTAAATTAAGAAGTGTTAAATGACATACTGAATTATTTAACAAAACTTTGTTGTTAATTTTGTAGTCATGTTTTGTATTGTAGGTAATCTGTACAGATTATCCAGCATATACTTTAATTATAATTAGAGTTGTATCTATTGTTGACTGTATCTTGTCTTGTGTATAATTATAGACAAGACAAAATACAGTCTACCATAGGAATTTCCGCATATCGAAGCTAATATTTTTTCTATAAATACGATGATTACGTATATAACCTCAGTAAATAGCTAATTTCGGACTTTATCGAGAAATTAACACTTAGTTTTCCAGATACCAGACACTTTTATAAACATTGCTTACCTACCTATTTGTTTAACTACAACCAACTATGACTGTGCATTGTATGTTTTTTTTTAAATTACGGAACTTACACCTGAAAATATCTGATCAGTCGTAGATTTAATTTTCAATGTAACAGAAGAAAATAAAAATTAGTGCCTACAGAAATGTGTAGACGGTATATATTAATATGTATTAATATATAATTACATTATATAATATAATTATCCGTGTGGTGACGGATTAAGAATACAGACTGTCACCACCCCTATTCATCCCGTGGGTGTCGTAAGAGCCGACTAAGGGAAAAAACTACGCAGGACAACAGCACTGCAGAGAGAAGGAAAACTTGACACAAACCCTGTACCAACCCGTCTGGCCAGCGTGGTATAGTAGGCCAAAACCTCCTTTCTAAGGAGAGGCTTATGTCCAGCAGTGGACTATTATAGGCTGTTGATGTGTGATGTGATGTGATATAATTACGTTAAAATACTTAATATTAATATGGAAGCAGTCAAACATGGAGATATTTTGATATTTATTGTTGAACACAACGATTTCATTTCAACTCAGTTATGCCATTTTTCAAATGAACAAAGCTATAGCTTTGATAGAGTCCAAAGCAGCCGGGTGAGTTTTTCCACCTTCGGTTGTGCGCTTCACGAGTACGTTGTCTAACCCAGGATCGAAGTTGGTTAAAAGGCAGAAGCAGGAGTGTGGTTGGGCCGGCGGCCGGGGTTGCCAAGCCCTCCTTGCCAACTCATCTTCAGAGTCATTCCCGTATGAATTACTAGACCAAGAGCCACATTTAGTGCGACAGTTGACGTTGTGCGCATACAGCCAGTGACCGCGGAACATGAGAGTCCCTGGAATTGCTGCAATCTATTAATGATGCTGCTTAACTCTATTCTCTGCCACCAGACAACGACACCGTACGTGATTATTCATCGTTTGACTGTTTTGTAGAGCCATAGTGTAATCTTTGGTGATAGTCCCCAGCTTCTTCCGAGTAGCTGTTTGCATTGGCAGAAGACAATGCAGGCTTTATTTAGTTTCTCTTCGAGGTGCCTATTCCACAGGAGTTTACTGTCT